AATCAAAGGTGAACGATGGAAAAATGTAATGATGACCAGGTGTTCGGTTTTATAGCTGAAGTATTTGAGATTTTTCTAAAGCAGCTGTTTCCAAAAGTCAGCGCCTCTTCCAGCTCATGGTGCTATTTTCCACAGCATCTACTTATGCCTGTCCATTTTCAACATCGTATATGCTGTCTTTGTGTGTATTTTTAAAATTGCCATATGCAGCAATTGTATCAGTTCTTATGAATAAGATCAGTTTGTTTTCTGTTGAATTGCAAAGTGTCTCAGTTTTCAGGAGCACATCTTCAGCAGACAGCAGGGTATGGCTATATTTTCTATTCGTTTGTGTTTCCAGGACCGTATGTTTGTTTATTGCTTGTGTATGTTTGCAGGACTGAGAGAGAGGTGAATAATACACTGTAATTGTTATTTGGTATAAAATGTGTGAAGGTAAAGAAGAAACTATTAAAAGGAGGTACTCAGGAAACAATTGGAAGTAGAAATTATTATTCGTGGTCTGGGCATAGCTCATTATTTTGCTTGTAGGGACAAAGACAAGGTGTTCTTTCATTTCATGTAACGTGCCAGGTATGATAAATTTGAGGCTGCTTCCTGGCTTCTCAAAGAATCTTTGTCTCTCCCTTTTCCTTTTTTTTTTTCAGTACTTCACCTTTCTCTGTAACCTCCTGGTTAGATGGCAAGAAACTGGATTCACTTATCTCTTTTTCCTACAGAAACTGGGGATGGGATTTTTGAGATTTTTACCTCCTTTTCTTCATCTGAGTTATTTGAGTGCAGCTTCCTTCTTTAGCTTTTCATATCTTCTTTAGGTAACTTCTGTGGAAGTTATTGTCCCTGAGATCATACTGTCCCTTAGATGGTTTGCTGCATTTTGGAGGTGCAACACCAACTCCCCACCTCCCCTAAAAGTAGAGCAATATTAGCATCCTGTAACTCAGAATGCTAATATTGCTCTAATTATTGCACCCAAAGACATCTGGAAAATTATCTTTTTGGAATAAGTTTTAGAAATTAATAGTTACATTCAGAAGGCTTCATAGTCATCTCCTCTCTGTATGGTCTGAGGGAGTAATTACTCATCACTGTATAGTATATTTTTCAGTTTGTCTTCTTAAATTCTCATTTATCAGCATGTATCATTAGCTTATTTTTTGTCATTCCAAGTCTTTTTGGTAGCAAAACCATAAATTGTTGTTGTCCAAACATGCCAGCCTCTTCCTCCGTTTGTAACTTGCTAGTTATAGAGTCAGGGAATTGTTTAGCTTGAAAAAGATATTTCAGATTGTCGTGTCCGACCATTAACCTAGCAATGCCAGGTCCACCACTAAACCAGATCCTTATGCACCACATCTACAAGACTTTTAAATACCTCCAGAGATTATGACTCCACCACTTCCCTGAGCAGCCTGTTAAAACTCTTGTGCTTGAAACCCCTTTCCTAAAGTCCAATCTAAACCTCCCCTGACACAACCTGAGCCTATTTCCTCTCGTACTTTCACTTGTTGCTTGGAAGAAGAAATTGACCCTCACCTCGCTATAACCTCCTTTCAGGTAGTTGTAGAGAGTGATAAGGTCTCCCCTCAGCCTCCTGTTCTTCAGACTACACAACCCTGGTTCCCTCAGCTGCTCCTCGTAAGACTTCTTCTCCAGACCCTTGACCAGCTTTGCTGCCCTTTTTCTGGACACACTTCAGCACCTCACAGAGTCACAGAATTGCTGAGGCTGGAAAAGACTCTGAGATCATGAAGTCCAGCCTATGACCCAACACCACCACATCGGCCAGACCACGGCACTAAGTGCCACATCCAGCCTCTCCTTGAACACCTCCAGGGACGGTGACTCCACCACTTCCCTGGGCAGTGCATCCCAGTGCCTGAGCACCCTCTCTGTGAGGAAGTGTCTCCTGAGATCCAACCTAAACCTCCCCTGATGCAGTTTCAGGCCGTGCCCTCTCATCCTGTCACCAGTTGCCTGGGAGAAGAGCCTGACTCCACCTGACTACAAATTCCCTTCAGGCAGTTACAGAGAGTGATAAGGTCCCCCCTGAGTCTCCTCTTCTCCAGGCTGAACACCTCCAGCTCCCTCAGCCTCTCCTCCTAGGGCTTTCCCTCTGGTCCCTTCCCCAGCCTCGTTGCTCTCCTCTGAACTCACTCCAGCACCTCAGTGACTATTGCAAGAAAAAGGGACACAATTGTTTTTCTGTTCCTTTTTTCTTCTTTTAATTGCCATTTCTCTTTGTTACCAGTTTCTCATATTAAATTAAATCACAATCTTCCCAAAATATTTGTGTCTTAAAAAAAAAATAGTAAAAACTTAAAACGACAAAAATCCTTATGTTAGAAAGATATGGATAACTAACCCGAATATTTTTGGCCTGAGTTCTGGACCAATGAATAATTTCCATGAGTCACTAATCTAGCACTCTGGTGATGTTATTGGAGGATATAGTGGAGAAACCACAGTGAGAGCTGTTAAAGCTATTGGGAATTTTTCTCACTGTATTTCCCTGTAAGTGAAATAAAACCCTTCATTTCTTACTCGTCCCCTCTCCTCAAATAGGATACCACCATTCCTAAAAAACTCAGTGAGGTTGCTGTGGGTCTCTGTGTGTGTTTTTCATCATGGATGCTTTTACAACTTAATTCTACGTCTTGTTCTTGAATTCTACCATAAAGCTTCTCTAATCTAGATGTTTCTTGTGACCACTTGAAACTCAGCCAGGTAAAGTGATCCAAACCTTTTCCTTCTGCAGGCTCCCTAAATAGCGTGCCACTTCCCATCATCATAAATTAATTGGTAACCTTCAGCACCCCAAGTTATGCCCTCGTGAAATTTTATTTTTCCTCAACTTCCATGAACTTCTCTTCTCTTGTATTCCTCTTAATCTTTAAAGCTTTTTACTGTTGTCATAGAAGTTGATAATAGTTAGGTTGATAGTTTAATGATGCATCTGCTTCTGATTGCATTTTTTTATTCACTGGTTCTTTTCTTTTACATAGATAATGCTCAAGGAACAAGCAAAATTGCCTCTGCTAGTTCAGTCTTTCTGTAGCAGAAACACTGTTAACAGAACACCGTTTTGGCCTGTGGTTAGAGCTCCTCTGGGATAGTAGTTGTTTTGTTATTCCTATTTAAAGTGTGTGGAAACCAGAATTGAGGCCTAGCAGATTTTAGGCACTTATGCCAAAAGGTTCAACATAGAACAATCTGCCACAGAGCAGTAAAAGGTATTACAGGACACTAGATTCCTGCAAAATCTGTTAGCCTTGTGGAAAAAAGATGTCTTTTTATTGCAAAATTTGACTTATTTGTAAATCAAGTAATAAATTCTCTTGTCATTTTTTAAATACTCATTTCTTTTGGATGACTTAAAAACATTGAAAGAGGAAGGGAAAGTATAGGGTTCATAACATTTTATTTGGAAACAGAGGTAAAAATTCTTCCAGCCCTAAACTATTATATTTCCTGCGGTCTGTAAAAATACGCTTTCACAGCTTTGCATAGATTGAGCTTGTGGAACTGTGGTATCTCACACCATGCTGGTGTACTCTGCCTGACCTTTGGTGGGGCTTTTTTTTGTGTTTGTTTTTTTTTGTTTGTTTATGCCAATCATTTACTGGTATGTATGAAATCTAGTAATAAATACCAATGTCAACAGAGCTTGAAGTCAAATTAAGACAGTTCTAGTAAATTACTGTAACTACTATCACAACATGAAAATTGAAGAAGAGGAAGGTAAAGTGGCCTCCAATGGAAGAAATGTCAAATGGCTTGACAATGCCAATATATCACTGTTTAATTTTTTACCATGATGGGAATTCAAAAGTAGAAAGAAATACATATTTAATCACATTAAACATAAAAGTTTATATTTGTATGATTTGCAGAAAGCAAACCAAACTGACCACATCTAGTTTTAGTATTGTTCAGGTAATTGTATAGTAGTGGTTACTAGACATCAGAATAACCTGTCTTTCAGGAAACATCTACAGCTTACGCCTCAGGCAAAATTAAATTAAAATGAGATTTCTTTAATACCTTTATTTGAATTATCCTCTTAACTTTTTAAATACTTTTAATTAAATTTTAATATGCCATATTTATGAATACAGCACTGTAGGTTTATTTTTATATTAGACGAATTTACACTATGTTAGACTAATTGGTCTGAATTTCATTACTGTCTTATTTCGTTGATAATTTCATATTTTATGAAAAATGTCCAGTTTTATTACATTTATAATAGCTCTTTATATTTAACATAATTTGTATGTTTGCTTCGGAGCAAATTCAGTGATTATGATTTTAAATTAGCTTGCTTTTGAACTGCACGTGTCAGTATTGGTTTGTCTTCTTTTTACGGGGAAGGAGGGCAGGGCCCATCAACACATGAGGACTTTGTCACACAGAACATTGTGTTGGGCTTACAACCTCTGATGGCGTTTTGAAACTTAGTTTGTTTTTACCCCCCCCCCTCTACTTTTTCTGGGCTCCTTGCCAGTAGTGTAGCGTGGAAGGAAGAGTAGCCCTGCAGTGCATCCTGTGGGTTCTGTTTGTCTTTACCCTTGCACCTTGCAGAAATATTTTCCTCTGCGGACCAGCTGCCACTGAAAGTGTAGGGCTACGCACAGCATCTGCCTGAAGACTTTGACCTCCTGGGCTTCAAGAAGGCAAAAGCCAGACCCTCACTGATTCACTTCCAGTCCATGTCGCTGTCTCTTTCTTTCACTGGAAAGTACGTGGGTTTGTGAAACTTCCCCTCCCGCCAACATTCCCTTTTTACCTTCTGATTTCTTTCTTAGGCAGTTGAATGTTGGAGGAGGTTGGCATTTCTACAAATTGATTTGGAAAGATGCTGCGTGATCTGAAAATTTAAACCAGTATCTTGTGTCTTCTGGAGAGTTAAAATATTTTGAAGCTTGAATATGTGCTTTTTACTTCTTTGCAGATTCAGTCTTGCGTATGGAATTGTTGAAGATTTGGGATCAATCAAGAAACATTTTTGCATGCAAAAAAGGATCCTTTTGGTTTATCTGTTTTAAAATTATCAAGTGGGGTACTTGATAACTCATCTACAAGATTTCTTCATTGACGTCTGAAGAACAAAGTGCTTTTCAACCTGTACTTCTGTAGCACTATGACTAACTGTAAAGGCAGACCTACCATCTCCAAAACAAATAGCAAAGCTCATGACAGAGAAGGTTTTGTTAACTGGACCATAAATCTTAATACAATTCAGTCTGATAAATTTTTGAGACTGCTTTTGAGTATGGTTCCTGTTGTTTACCAAATAAACCAGGATGAAAGACACAAAAAAGTGAACAGTGTCTTGCAAGATGCATTACGACCAGCAGGACACAATTTTAATGTTAGGTCTGAGCAACACACAGAGTACCATCACTTCTCAGAACCAAGTTTTCATGGTAGTAGTGGACACAGCCCATCCAGCTGTAGCCCTAAATATGATGATTTTGCCAGTTATAGTTACTGTGATGGAATGGACACTTCAGAAACAGATGCCATGTTGCAGGAAGACAACCTGTCTAGTGACAGTAATGAAGATGTCATTGTGGAAGGAAGTAGAAAACAACCCAAAGAATCTAGTAGTATTATGGCATTACAGATACTTGTACCTTTTTTGCTAGCAGGATTTGGAACAGTTTCTGCTGGCATGGTGTTGGATATTGTACAGGTTGGTATTTGCTTTGGAAGATATTTTATTTTAAAAGGTAGTCTGTGAGGTTTATAGTTGTAGTGTGTGATGTTGTAGATGTTTATGTTATGGAGGAGTAATTAGGTCTCTTTATGATTCTGCTGATATGAACTCCTTTTCCCCAAACCTCGTATTAAAAAGTTGCAGTGTTTCATTTGGAACGTTTCACATCTTGGTAAGTGTTTAGCCACAGTGAGCTGTTGAATAAAACCGTTACCTTCTGCTTTAATTAAGGATAGAAATATAGTCATGGTTCAAAATTCTGCTGACACTAGTACGTGTATACATAGCCAAGTGGGAGTTGCAATTAACCATGATGCTGCAATACATATGAGTTTAAAAAGAATAGAAGATTGTATTGCATTATCTCATTTCTTTGTGTGTTTCAAGTCCATGCAGTCTTTGAAATGATGTGTAGATTTGGTCCATGATGATGCATATGGTGTAAGAAAATGTGCATTACATTCATATGTTACATGAAATATATATGAAGTGATTTAGAGGGTTTTTTTGAATATTCAGGTGTGTGTAACTGACTTGTTCACGTAATATTAGATACACTGAATGCTTGGAAACATCAGAGGCATGAACAGGGCTGTAAAGTCTCGCCCACCTTGAAATATAGTTACAGTAGATCCAGGAAAGTCAGCTTATCTTGGTTTGTGGTAGCAGATATAACTAATGATAGTTATTCAGGGCTAAGATAAAATACAACTTTCAGTTACAAGACTGAAGTTTAATAATATTTTTTAAACCTGTTTTGGAGTATTATATCTCTAAGACTGTACTGATATGGAACATTTTGAGATGGATTTCTAGTTTAACACAGTTGTAGATATCAGCAGTATTTCAGTGGAGTTAAAAATAACAGTTGCCTATGAAATAGTTCTTTGTGCAGTGATATTTGAAGAAAATTCTGGAGACAAGAACAATTAAAGGTTTATTGGACTAGCTTATTTTCTCGCCTTCTTGGCATTTTGAAGGCTCTGTTTACTTTTATTTTCTACCTAATTTGATTTTTTTAAAAAAAATTCTTATAAATGCCAACACATGGATTATCTCTTTCTGTATGAATAGATTAACAAAGAAATATTTAAAAAAAATGAAATAACCACAATATTTAAACAGAAAGACAGTAAAATAATGTTTGGGTTTTGTGGTGTTTTTTTTTTTTCATTCAGCTTCAGCATTTTCTTTAGCTACACCTAAAGAGTTTACAAAGTTAAAGAGAGGTAAGGGGTGACTATCTTTGTCACTTAAAATCTTGAGAGAGTAAAGGAAGCTTGGACTTCAGTCAATTGCAATGGAAAGACACTTTTATATATCAAGAAAAAGGGAAACAAAATTCAACATGCAAACTTTAATGCCTCCTTTCATTGTTCTACACCAATCTTGTGCTTAGTTCATTCCCATCTTACCAATTTAATCTTTGTACTGATTCTTTTTTTGTACTCTGTTAATATATGATCTGCTGCATGATACAGCATAATGATCAGCCAAAAGAGGTGGTTGTGCCTCCTGCCCCTGCTGGCTTCCAACCAAATGTTTCACCTTGGCTTCCTTTAAGGAAATGTATTTGTATAGCTGGTTTTTGAGCTGACCTAAGATATATCTTGATTTTTTCCTTCTGCATTACTTTTAGTCTTTATTGCTTTCCCAGTTCAGCTCACCATGAATAATACTTATGTAAACCCACATATAGATAATTCTCGGATCTTGTTTACATTTGAGAATTAAATTTATTTAATTAAAATAATAATTTAAATGATTGCAAATCCCTGAAGACAAAGCCAATTTACAGTTTTCTTAGTTTAGTTAAAGATGGTAAACGATTGCAAATTAAGTAGATGGATTGACAGACATACAAAGTAGCACAGCATCTGGGTGCTGAGAAACCAGCGCACAGAAATTATGGGGAAGTTTGCATTATAAAATCTACGTTTTGGAAAACTGTACCATTCTAAATTTCTCACTTAGAAGTTAAAGATAAGATTTTTCACTTACAGGCTCTGTTCATCTGACAACTAATTCCTTGGTGTTTTTTTGTGAGGTTTTTACACAGCTGAGTGAGAAAAGAGGAAAGAGTTTTAAATTAAGAGCAGAATTCAAGAGTAGTCATAGTACTTGGCATAATTTTAAAGTCATTGAAAAAAAGACTTTAGATTAATGACATCTTTTTTTCAGGTGGGTTTGTTTTAAAGCCAAGTTTTGTATCTCTTACTTTTGATATTTTTGTCTTTGAAGCAGTAGTATGCACTCATAAATCTGTTTTATCTAGACAGATAACAGTTCTGGCTTTAGACTTTTAGGTCTAATATAAAAAGATTGATTTTTTTTAGAGGCGTAAGTTATGAATTACAGATTTTTTTTTTGAATACTTTGTGGATGGTCTAAAGAGAATTTTGCAATTGAATGTTTCCTGCTGTATCCTTTATATAGCACTGGGATGTGTTCAAGAATGTTACTGAAGTTTTTATCTTGGTTCCTGCACTTCTTGGTCTCAAAGGAAATTTGGAAATGACCTTGGCATCCCGACTTTCAACTGCTGTAAGTAACTTTTTCTCTCCCTTTGCTCTTTAGACATATGTTGTAAATATTCCAAAAGGAAAACAGATCTTTGGAACACAAGTGGTTTATGTGTATTGGGTAATCTGGCTGTTTAATCTGTTATTAATTGGCAGAGTTAAAAACTTCTAATCTCCTCTTCTAATCTCCACCCATCAAAATTTTACTTCTTCAGTCTCTTCTGAGTCGTCATTCATAACAGCTGAAGTAAAGTTTTGACATTTACATGGGTGTTCCGTAAAGTTATCATCTCTTTGGCCTTGAGGGGGTTTAAATAGGCTGCAAAACGTGTACGTTTTGAACACATTTTTCTAAAGACCGATTGCGTGGCACCAAAATAAAATACTGCTAACATTGCTATTCCAGACCTTTGTTGATGACATGGTAAGAAACTCTTTTGTAGCTTTCTGGCTAAATAATTTTATTCCTTTTTTATTGTGTTTTTTTTTTTTTCTTTCTGGGAATCTGCTTATTTTTTGTGCATGTCAGCACTGTAACACAGCATAACTAGTTTTTTTCTGTTGTCTTCTTTCTTGCATATTTGTCATAGTTCTTTTTCTCCGTCTCAGGGGATGTTCCATCACTTCATTTTTTTAGCCTGAGCAAGCCAGATTACCTTACCATATTTTTAACTTTTTTTTTTTTTGTATGTGTGAATAACTATAGCAAACAGAATGTTTTAATAATGTGGCTGAACTATTTCTGGTACCTGAACTGGATATCTCCTTAAGCCATTGCCTAATACAGTGTTTCTTCTTTGTAAGGTAATTTTTCCATTCTCCAGCAAGGCCCCCACCCTCTGCCTGTTCCTGCTTGAATGAATCTTTTGTAGAAAATGTTTGGTCAAAGGTGTTTATAACTCCAGATGAGACCTTATTATGGCTTTGTAGAGTAGCACCTTCCTATTTCTCTTGAAAGCTGCTCCTGAAAATTTCTAGCTTTATATTTATTTATTTGCATAGCAGTGTCAGTTTTAGATCACATGGTCACTTTGTGATCAATGACTAGTATTTCTCCTTCTGTGTTATTTCCAGCTGTCACTCCCATCTTCTGGCAGAAATATTCTTAGTCCCTAACTGCACAACTTTGCATTTCTACTGTTCAATTTCACCTGATTTTGTTGCTATCATCCTCAAGGTCAATCAGTGTTTGTGTGATATTACAATGCTTTGTATTGACAGGATCTTCCAGTCTTCTGTCATTAATAAATGCCATTTCCACATTATATTGAGTTATTGCCCAAACACACACTGTGATGGATGTAGCCTTAGCAGCCCTATGAAAGTTTGATTGTGTCATGCCCATTATAGAAATTGATTACTTTTGCCCCGTATCCATTCTTTCATACGTAAGAACTGACATGTTTTGTTTTATCTTTGTCAATGGCAACCTTAGCTATTCAGTCTTGTTTTCTGTTTAATTCTCTTACTTTTCTGAGTATTCTTACTGTTTCTTAATGGTATTTTGCGTTTAAACCTTACTGCCTTTACTGTCAGGCATGATTACTTTTGTCTTTTACCTTACTGTTTTTTTGGTGTTGACCTGTTGCTTTATTTGTTCCTGATTGCTACAGTTCATGGCCTGAGGATCGAAAGTGATTGCATTGCATAGTGAAAAATACACCAAGTCCAAAATCTACCAGTGCCTTAGTGAAGGTTTAAAAAAAGATCAGAATCAACATCACCACTTCTGCTTCAATTAATGGGATCTCTAATTCTTTGTCTCCGTTGAGCTTATGACCTTTTCCAGATCATGGCTCCAGAACTTCTCTGGGCCAATCAGTGGCTGATTTCCCTATCCTCATTAGTGCCATCTCATTTGTGAACCTCGCAGCTCTCAGGAGACGTTTGGAAAAAGGTCACGCAGACCGGTTTTCTGCCCTGGGAAACCTGACCTTGGTTCTTGTTACCTATCAACTGTTACCAAACATCAAGGGGCTGATTCCCCTCCCAGACACACAGATAAAGGATAATGGAGTTTCCACAACACTGGCTGCATCTTCAGTGTTTAACTAAAGTTGGCATCATGAGGCTTAGGCCACTCCTCTCAGCCCCAAATGGCATTCTTACAGAGTATCTGTAGTGATTTGACCCTGACTGGTGACCACATGCCCACCACAGCCGCTCTATCACTCCTCCTTCTCAGCTAGATGAGAGAGAAAATAGGGTGAAGGGCCCCAGATTTGAGATAAGGACAGGGAGATCACGTGCATCCACCGTCCCAGGCAAAATAGACTTGATTTTGGGGAAGCTAGTTAAATTTACTCATCGCTGGTTTTGATTGTTAAATAATGAGAATTAAAAGCAGATCTTAAAACAACACCTCCCCCCAACCCCTTCCTTCTTCCTGGGTTTAACATCAATCCCAGTTACTCACCTCCTCCCCTCGAGCAGTGCAGGGGGTTAGGGAATGGGGGTCACGGGTCAGTTCATCCAATGATGTAATTTCAACTGCTCCTTCTTCCTCTTGGGGAGGACGCCTCACTCTTCCCGTGGGCCATTGTGGGGCCATTGTGGAGTACCTCTCAGAGGAGATGATCTTCACACACTTTCTCCAATGTGAGTCCTCTCACAAGAGACAGTTCTTGGCAAACTTCCCCAATGTGAGTCTCACCATGGGGTGCAGTCTTTCAAGGGGAAGCTGTTCCAATGTGAGTCCCCCGCGGTGTCACAGAAGTCCTGTCAGCAAACCTGTTTCTGTGTGGGCTTCTCTCTCTCCACAGGTTACAGGCTCTGTTAGCAACCTGCTCCAGCGCGGCTTTCTCTCGTGTCTTTTTTTCATGCTCAACATCAGCTGCAATGTGGACAAGTCTGTGAGGTGGTGGATAGCCAGCCACATCCCCCTCTAGTGCTACTTCAAAGGTTAAAAAATACACAAGAATTCTGTAATGTTTCTCATTCTTACTTAAAAAAACTGTGTAAACCTCTTACAAGTAACTTCTTACAGGTGGCAGTTTGGGCTTACTTGACACATGTAAATTTGAACTCCAGGACAGTGGCATTGATTGCTCTGCTTCCCCCAGGCTTTAAAAACAGGTGCAATGTCATATTGGATCATTGCTTACTGGAGAGTTTAATAAACAAGCTTACTACTAGACCTGAAATTTACATGCCAGTTCTCTCAGACAGCTGTGAAAGAGGTTATTCTGACCTTTGCATTCTTCACATTGATTTCATTGACCCTTGCTTCTCTTAACCATCCAATCTTTGGTCCTGTCATCCTCAACCTAGGTGAAAACAGGAGTGTGTTAGTTCAGAGCATGTCTAAACTGTTATTTGGAGGCAGTTGTATGATTAATCTTCTCTTCTCTAACCTAAATTTGCACTAGCTGGCTCCCTACCAGATACTGTCTTTGCAGTAAATGCAGGACTGCGCCCCTGTGAATAGCTTTGCCTTTTGAGGAGGAAATTTCTAACACAGTTCAGCATTGGAGCTAATTCATATCCTTCTTGCTCAGTTAGCTTGTACTTGCATCTGAATTTGTAGACAAGTCTATGCTCTTGGGGCTGTAAACTAATTATCTTTACTTCACTGTAATCATGTGGTCAGCCAAAAAGTAGTGGCTTAGCAAATTTCTGTTAGACATAATACACCTGGCTTCAAGCGTTGTCTGCTCACCTTCATTCATCTTGTTGCCCAAATTTATACTTTAGCTGCTTCTTACTGGTGAGGCCACACCCTCAGTATTGTGTTCAATTTTGGGTGCTGCAGTATAAGAAGGACATTGAAGTGCTGGAGTGGGTTCAGAGAAGGGCAATGAAACTGGTGAGGGTCTCAAGAACAAGCCTTATGAAGACTTGCTGAGAGAACTGGGTTGTTTAGTCTGAAGAATCACAGAATCACAGAATTGTTGAGGCTGGAAAGACCTCTTGAGATCAAGTCCAGCCTATGACTCAACAGCATTGCAACGGGTAGCCCACGGCACTAAGTGCCACATCCAGCGTCTCCTTGAACACCTCCAGGGACGGTGACTCCACCACTTCCCTGGCCAGTGCATCCCAATGCCTGATTGCCCTCTCCATGAGGAACTGTTTCCTGAGATCCAACCTAAACCTCCTCTGATGCAGTTTCAGGCCGTGCCCTCTCATCCTGTCACTTTTTGCCTGGGAGACCAGCCCAGCCCCCACCTGACTACACCCTCCCT